GGCACAGCAGTAGGCGTTAATATCTTCGAATTCTAAAAATTCCAGTTTCGCAAATTTTTCGTTTGTGTGATCTGTTTTTTTCAAGTAGGTCATTGTCCGTACAACACTATATACAATACAGTAACAGGAGCCACACTATGTACAGTACAGTAACAGGAGCCACACTATGTGTAGTACAGTAACAGGGGCCACACTAGGCACAGTACAGTAACAGGAGCCACACTACGTACAGTACAGTAACAGGAGCCACACTATGGACAGTACAGTAACAGGGGCCACACTAGGCACAGTACAGTAACAGGAGCCACACTACGTACAGTACAGTAACAGGAGCCACACTATGGACAGTACAGAAACTGGAGCCACACTATATACAGTACAGTAACAGGAGCCACACTATGTACAGTACAGTAACAGGACACACACTATGTACAGTACAGTAACAGGAAACACACTATGTACAGTACAGTAACAGGGGCCACACTATGTACAGTGCAGTAACAGGATCCACACTATGTACAGTACATAAACAGTAGCCACACTATGTTCAGTACCGTAAGACGAAACACACTATGTACAGTACAGTAGCAGGAGCCACACTATATACAGTACAGTAACAGGAGCCACACTATATACAGTACAGTAACAGGAGCCACACTATGTACAGTACAGTAACAGGAGCCACACAATGTACCGTACCGTAACAGGAGCCTTACAATGTACCATACCATAACAGGAGCCACACTAGATACAGTACAGCAACAGGAGCCACACTATATACAGTACAGTAACAGGGGCACACTATGTACAATACAGTAACAGGAGCCACACTATGTACAATTACAGTAACAGGAGCCACACTATGTACAGTAACAGGAAACACACTACGTACAGTACAGTAGGGGCCACACTATGTACAGTACAGTAACAGGAAACACACTATGTACAGTACAGTAACAAGAGCCACACAATGTACCGTACCATAACAGGAGCCACACTATATTCAGTACAGTAACAGGAGCCACAGTATGTACAGTACAGTAACAGGAAACACACTATGTACAGTACAGTAACAGGAGCCATACTATGTACAGTACAGTAACAGCAGCCACACTATGTACAGTACAGTAACAGAAAAAACACTATGTACAGTACAGTAACAGGGGCCACACTATGTACAGTACAGTAACAGGAAACACACTATGTACAGTACAGTAAGAGGTGCCACACAGTACAGTACAGTAGGAGGAGCCACACTATGTACAGTACAGTAACAGGAGCCACACTATATACAGTACAGTAACAGGAGCCACACTATATACACTACAGTAATAGGAGCCACACTATATACAGTACAGTAACAGGAGCCACACTATGTACAGTACAGTAACAGGAGGCACACTATGTACAGTGCAGTAACAGGGACCACACTATGTACAGTACATTAACAGGAGCCACACTATGTACAGTACAGTAACAGGAAACACACTATGTACAGTACAGCAACAGGAGCCACACTATGTTCAGTACAGTAACAGCTACTATGTACAGTAGGAAACAGGAGCCACACTGTGTGCACTACTGCTACAGTACAGTAACAGGAACACACACTATATATACAGTAACAGACACCTGTACAGTATCAGGAGCCACACTAATATGTACAGTACAGTAACAAAGGAAAACACTATGTACAGTACAGTAACAGAGAAACACTATGTACAGTACAGTAACAGGAACCACACTATGTGCAGTACAGTAACAGGAAACACACTATGTACAGTACAGTATAAGGGGCCACACTATGTACAGTACAGTATAAGGGGCCACACTATTTACAGTACAGTAGCAGGAGCCACACTATGTACATTACAGTAACAGGAAACACACTATGTACAGTACAGTAACAGGATCCACACTATGTACATTACATAAACAGTAGCCACACTATGTTCAGTACCGTAACAGGAAACACACTTTGTACAGTACAGTAGCAGGCGTCACACTATGTACAGTACTGTAACAGGAGCCACATAATGTACCGTACCGTAACAGAAGCCACACTATATACAGTACAGTAACAGGAGCCACACTATATACAGTACAGTAACAGGAGCCACACTATATACAGTACAGTAACAGGAGCCACACTATGTACAGTACAGTAACAGGAGCCACACAATGTACCGTACCGTAACAGGAGCCTCACAATGTACCGTACCATAACAGGAGCCACACTAGATACAGTACAGTAACAGGAGCCACACTATATACAGTACCGTAATAGGGGCCACACTATATACAGTACAGTAACAGGAGCCACACTATGTACAGTACAGTAACAGGGGCCACACTATGTGCCAAGTAACAGTGAAGGCCACTAATGACAGTACAGTAAAGTTAGGGCCACACTATGTACAGTACAGTAACAGGAGCCACTATATACAGTACTGTAACAGGGCCACACTATGTACAGTACAACAGGAGTCACACTATGTACAGTACAGTAACAGGGGCCACACTATGTACAGTAACAGGAACACACTACGCATGCAGCAGGGCCACACTATGTACAGTAACAGGAGCCACACTATATTCAGTACAGTAACAGGAGCCACAGTATGTACAGTACAGTAACAGGAAACACACTATGTACAGTACAGTAACAGGAGCCATACTATGTACATTACAGTAACAGGAGCCACACTATGTACAGTACAGTAACAGAAAAAACACTATGTACAGTACAGTAACAGGGGCCACACTATGTACAGTACAGTAACAGGAAACACACTATGTACAGTACAGTAAGAGGAGCCACACTGCACAGTACAGTAGTAGGAGCCACACTATGTACAGTACAGTAACAGGAGCCGCACTATATACAGTACACTAACAGGAGCCACACTATATACACTACAGTAATAGGAGCCACACTATGTACAGTACAGTAACAGGAGCCACACTATGTACAGTACAGTAACAGGAGCCACACTATGTACAGTGCAGTAACAGGGACCACACTATGTACAGTACATTAACAGGAGCCACACTATGTACAGTACAGTAACAGGAAACACACTATGTACAGTACAGTAACAGGAGCCACACTATGTACAGTACAGTAACAGGAAACACACTATGTACAGTACAGAAACAGGAACCTCACTGTGTACAGTACAGTAACAGGGGGCACACTATGTACAGTACAGTAACAGGAAACACACTATGTACAGTACAGTATAAGGGGCCACAGTATGTACAGTACAGTAACAGGGGCCACACTATTTACAGTACAGTAGCAGGAGCCACACTATGTACAGTACAGTAACAGGAAACACACTATGTACAGTACAGTAACAGGAGCCACACTATGTACAGTACAGTAACAGGGGCCACACTATGTACAGTACAGAAACAGGAGCCACACTATGTACAGTAAAGTATCAGGAAACACATTATGTACAGTACAGTAACAGGAAACACACTATGTGCAGTACAGTAACAGGGGCCACACTGTGTACAGTACAGTAACAGGAAACACACTATGTACAGTACAGTATAAGGGGCCACACTATTTACAGTACAGTAGCAGGAGCCACACTATGTACAGTACAGTAACAGGGGCCACACTATGTACAGTACAGTAACAGGAGACCCACTATGTATAGTACAGTAACAGGAGCCACACTGTGTACAGTACAGTAACAGGGGCCACACTATGTACAGTACAGTAACAGGAGCCACACTATGTACAGTACAGTAACAGGGGCCACACTATGTACAGTACAGAAACAGGAGCCACACTATGTACAGTACAGTAACAGGAAACACACTATGTGCAGTACAGTAACAGGGGCCACACTATGTACAGTACAGTAACAGGAGCCACACTATGTACAGTGCAGTAACAGGAGCAGGAGGCACACTATGTACCGTACAGTAACAGGAGCCACACAATGTACCGTACCGTAACAGGAGCCACACAATGTACCGTACCATAACAGGAGTCACACTATATACAGTACAGTAACACGATCCACACTATGCACAGTACACTATCTGGAGCCACACTATGTACAGTACAGTACATTAAAAGGAGCCACACTCTGTACAGTACAGTAAGAGGAGCCACACTATGTAAAGGGAAGCAACAGGAGGCTCATTACATACAGTACACTATCTGGAGGCACACTATGTACAGTGCAGCAACAGGAGCCACATTAAATACAATGCATTAACAGGAGCCATACTCTGTGCAGTACAGAATCTGGAGCCACACTATGTACAGTAACAGGAGCCACACTATTTACAGTACAGTAACGGGAGCCACTCTATGTACTGTAACAGGAGCCACAGTACATGCAGTACAATAACAGGAGCCACACTATGTACTGTAAAGTAACAGGAGCCACACTATGTTCAGAACAGTAACCGTAGCCACATTATGTACTGTAAAGCAACAGGAGCCACACTACATATTGTACAGAAACAGGAGCCACACTACACACAGTACAGCACTAGAAGCGACACTACATACAATACAGTACCAGAAGCCACACTACATATACTGTAGTACATAAACAGGAGAGACACTACAGTAACAGGAGCCACACACCACAGGACCGCGAATGAAGACATTAGAGAAGACCTCGACGTAGAATCAGGTCAGGAAATCCCAGAAGGAAACAACCGAGATGTTACGGACACGACAGTCATGAAGGTCACTTCATGTCGTAGAAAATTTAGAAGAAAACCCTCTTGGTAGACTTGAGGTACATGACGGGAGTAGATGATGTTCTCTCAGCTAGCGGAAGGCTGAGTACAGCGGGGAACAGTGACTGATAGGTCAAAGTTTTAAAAGGCGTTGGATTGTTGATTCCTACATGAGGTTGTTCAGCCTTAAAATTAGAATGGAGCTGGTCTCAAGATCAATAAGAGCTTTTCACGTGACATTTTTTTTACAGACTATTAATACTAGGGGATGACTTCTCATTCAGATTGCTCGGAAGATCCTCCGTCGCCAGTGAACGGCTACACAGAATGCTCGACGTATGCTGGATGTCGCGCTCTCTGCAACAGACGCTACAAGTTCCCCACGGGCGAGAGGAGATTAATGATGATGTGTGAAAACAATCACTGGACCATGACTAGAATCCACTATGAAGACTTACCTGACTGTCACCGTGAGCATACAACTACTACTACAGCTACTATTACTATTACGCTGACTTCCTACTACTCGGGCCTCTTTGACACACTGTCATTATTATTATTATTATTATTACTACTACTACTCTAAAATATTATTTCTGATGCTGTTGCTACTACCACAACTATCCTTACATAATACAACTATTACAATTATTACTTCTATCCTTACATACTACTACCACCACCACCTTGATATACTACCAGCACTACTACCTTAACATACTACTACTACTACTTTTTTTTTTTTTTTTTAACGTGGCCTCCAGCCTCCCCCAATAGCCACACCTTCGCCACCATTTAATTACCATAATATTAAATATCCTAATACATATGTAACTATCCTATCTGTGTTAAATTAGTTGAGCCGCAGATCTATGCGGCATTCAGTGACAGTAGCCTCATAGTCGATATCTGCAGCAGTTGTCGGAATTGGGGCAGAAGCTCTCGTTCCCCTGAGGCAGAGCAAAGCCGACCGAAGGAGAGAGAAAGACAGTCGACATCTCATCCAGGCTGTAACGAAACTTCTGGGCTGCTGCTTCTGTTCGGAGATCACCCCCTCGAGTCTGGCATAGAAACATCTTGCACTTGGTCCCATCCCACCAGAGGTTGTGAACACTAGAGGAGTGAAGCTGCCTTGAACAACGTTTTGGATTCTCTCCCCATATGCCCTTATCTTGTCGTTCTCGTTCCTCCTATGTGCAGCATCGAGAGCTAGGTTACGGTGACATGCGGCCATGGGATCAAAAATCCTGATGTCGAAGAAAGCTCGCTGTCCCCGCGTCCAGAATCCTCGAGCACTGACGTCAACACGGGCTTCGTTAGATGTGTTTGAAGTCCTATGTTGGAAGATCTCCCCATCCAATGGAAGGAGGGTCGGTTCTACCATGACATCTCGGCAGATTTCCTTCAACATATTTGCTGTAAGGTCTCATACTTCGTCATGCCTCATGCATATGAAGCCCCCTTTCTTGCACACCATGGCTGATCGCCGTCATAGGAAGAGCCACACACGCATTGGGACGGCAAACCTTCTACTGGCCGACCGTACCTTAGAGCAATGGCATCTGTAAATTCTTGTTTGTTAAGACTGAAACCATTTGCCCTTATCGGTAACGTAGTTAACCAGTTTAAGGGGCCCACCTCCTGCGCTATAGCTACTTTTTTTTTTAAATTTTCTGGAACCTGCAGCAACAGTTGCTGCAACTTATCATTTTGGCAGTGCTGTCGATCTGTCGTAATGGACCTATGAGTCTCGTTTACTTCACTGGTATCGACCTCCCCTGTTGCGTTCTGGGCTATTATGTGGTCCGTGAGGGCTGCCATGAGCTTAAGTGAATTTTGATGTTCGGTGGCTGCAATCTCCTCTGGATTGGTTAGTCCCATCCCTCCCAGTCTTGATGGAAGTGCAAGAAGTGCTCTTTCTGCTGGGGTTAAGTGAGTGTGTTTCACTAATTTGGGAATGAACTTGACACTGATAGCTTCTTATAGAGGGTGGAGGAGGGGTCCGATATCAGGGATAGTACGCATCAGGTGGTTCCAACGATGCTTGACTCCATGGGTGAATGCAGCAAAAGAGGCATGTGGCTCTGTGTTAGCAATCTCAGACAGAGCTTGGATTTCACTAACCCACTCATTCACCTTTCCCGCTACGTACTCGGTCTTGAAGTCCTTAGTGCCAATTACTGCGCCTAGATGTCTTTGGCCGTCCTTAGTTATTTTGACCTCACATCCGCCAAAAACCTCCTTTGCCCGTTTATAATGTTCTGGCCTCACTATGAGGAGGGACTTGCTGGCGTTTGGGTGGTACCCTATTTGTGGACCTCGCGATGTTACCAAGTCCCACCACTTTTTGATGCCCTCCACTTTTCCTGCTCCTGTAAGGTCGTCAGCATACGCCACTTGTTTGACCCCAGTTGTTTCAAATTTTATTTCTTGTTGGAGCACTGATAGGCCTATTGCATACATTGCCATTGCAACAGGGTCCCCCTGTGTTGTTCCCTCGGTTGACTGTAAGATGGTATCACCTCTTAGGGCCTTGTTGTTTACTATATAAAGGTCTGATGGATTCCTATAGGAGTTTTCAACGTACATTGCAAAGCTTGGACACTTGATCTTGATGTTGTGCAGTGCGGCCTTGCGGTTAAGTATGTTGAATGCGTTTGAAGCGTCGACCAGGAGAACGGCCTCACAATCACGTTGCTCAAATATCGTTCTCATGGCGTGAATGGCAGCTTCCCCCCCAGCTTGTTGGCCAGCACAAACTTGTAGGTTCCCTGCTGCTGCCCTGACATCGTCCTTTACCACCTCCATTATGCATTTTCCGATGATTCGCCTCAGCACTTCCTCCACTCCTATTGGCCTACATCCTGGATTCTTATCCAGGGGAATGAGGTGGCAGGCCGTCAGAGCATGAAGGTGATGGCAGCATGAGGATGCCAGCTTTCTTGCAAGGACGGCAATGGCCGTGCAGAGATCACTTGCTGTGGGGCCAAACTTGTTAGTGCTGAGGATGACTCTCCATCCGTTTGCATCCAGACCTGAAGGGCCGGCACCTCCCTGAGTCTTCAGTGCCTTTTTCCACACCATCCCTCCTGTTATTTTCTCGAACAGGACAGCATTTGGTGGGATATAGGCACCCTGAAACCTGATGCCTTCGTCATCACTTGCAGAGGGATGTTTTTCTTTCAGTTGTTTTAATGTCTCTCTGTTTATTGGCAGGACCCCACCGGTGAACTCCTCTGTGAGAGATCTTACCGCCAAAGACACTTTTCCCACACGCATTTTGTTTCCAAACATCCTTGCAGCCTCATCGGTGTTTTGCTTTCCGTCTCCTGCAGATTTTAGTCTCTCCTGCGGTGCTCTTGTTTCACATAGGAGATCATCAAGGGCCCCCTTCTGCCACAGTGTCAGTCTTCTCTTCATTGCTGTCACATTTTCTTTGTGCTTAGTCTTTGTGTGTGTCCTCTGGCAGAATAGATGTCGTATTATTGCCAGTATATGAAGAGCTAACGGGGCAAGGAGGCGGTCTTGAGTGTACTCAGTCATGAGACTAATCATCTCCCGAATCATTTCTTTGGTGGCCGCACACTTGAGTGGTTCAAACAGGTTTGCTGGCGACCACCTGACAATTTCTGAGTAAGCTTTTTTAACCCATGTGTCTGCATTTTCCATGGACATGCAATTCCACTGTGGTGGCTGTCTCTCATTCACCTCGTGGGCATCAGCTACTATTGGAGCAGCGTTTATTGGTACTACATTTTCAGGTTGATTAGACTCATTGCTATCGTTTAGGATATCAGCGGGCTGCTGGGTCCCGGCGATATCCACTGTGGCCTCCTGTGACGGATCCCTGCCATGAAGGTTATAAGGGTTGCGGCAATTGTTTCCCTTTATGCAAGACACACATGGTCGGTTGCTTCTCACACAGACACAGCTAGTGCATTTTTGGTACTGGTTAGAACAGACACAACAATGTCTGTCACCCGGCATAATGATCTGCACCTTGGGCGACAGTTACGTCCGCCTCCGAACATCTGATTTGGTCCCAGGCACAAGATTATACTGGTTCTTATGAGGGAAGGGCGGAGAGGTGACAGGCTGGACTGGTGTGTCCAGGTAGTAGGGGCATACGTGCGCGCGTGGGTGTGTAGGCTACCCCCCCTAATGGCGACCATCCATACATCAGAATGATACACTATGGACAAGAGTTTGTCACACCAAGCACTTGTTTATATATTCTTGGCACAAATAACCACTATTTATATGGTCTCACTGGTGCAATATCAGTTATATATACTCACTTGGTTCGTCGAGACCCTACATGAAGTGACCGTTACAATGGTGGGGAGGCGACGCATGGGCAGCACTCTCGGCCCCATAGGGGCGAAAGTCTCGAGGCCACCCCTGTCAAAGTAGGCCTATCGACACTGACCTTGGCTCCGAGCCTCCGCATTATTCCACCGACCCAGCACCGCCAGGTCACCACTCGCTTGGTGATCGCCGGTGAACACACGGAATATTTACAATTTATGCCGTAAGGGATGAGAAGAAACCTTGGGTGGCAATGCTTAGGGTGACATCTGATATTCACCGACACATTGTTAAATTCCCGCTCTCACACAGCGAGTATGTCCCCACCAATAACTACTACTACTACTACCACCACCACCACCACCACCTTGATATACTACCACCACTACTACCTTAACATGCTACTTTTTTTTTTATAAATGGCCTCCAGCCTCCCCGAATAGCCATACCTTCGCAGCCATTTTATTACCTTAAAATTAAATATCCTAATCATAAGTAGCTATCCTAGCTGTGTTGAGTTAGTTGATCCGCAGATCTACGCGGCATTTAGTGACTGTTGCCTTATAGTCAATATCTGCTACTGTTGTCGGCTTTGGGGCCTATGCTCTCGTTCCCCTGAGGCAGAGCAAAGCAGACCAAAGGGGAGAGAAGCACAGCCGACATCTCATCCAGGCTGTAACATAACTTCTGGGCTGCTGCTTCTATTCGGATAGCACCTCTGCGAATCTGGCGTAGAAGCATCTTGCACTTGGTCCCATCCCGCCAGAGGTTGTGAGCACCAGAGGAGTGAAGCTGCCTTGATCAACGTTCTGAATTCTCTACCCTTTGCCCTTTTCTTGTCATTCTCATTCCTCCTGTGTGAAGCATCGAGAGCTAAGTTACGGTGACATGCGGCCATGGGATAAAAAAATCCTTATGTAGAAGAAGGCTCGCTGTCCTCGCGTCCAGAATCCTCGAGCACTGACGTCAACACGGGCTTCGTTGGATGTGTGTGAAGTCCTATGTTGGAAATTCTCACCGTCCAATGGAAGGAGGGTCGATTCTACCCTGACATCACGGTAGATTTCCTTCAACATATTTGCTGTGAGATCCCTTACTTCGTCATGCCTCATGCATATGAAGCCCCCTTTCTTGCACACCATGGCGTGATCAACGTCATAGGAAAAGCCACACACGCATTGGGAGTGCAAACCTTCTACTGGCTTACCGTACCTTAGAGCAATGGCAACTGTAAATTCTTGTTTATTGAAACTGAAACCATTTGCCCTTATCGGCATCTTAGGTAACCAGTTCGAGGTGCCCACCTCCTGCGCTATAGCTACTTTTATTCAAATTCTCTGGTACTTGCAGCATCAGTTGCTGCAACTTAACACTTTGGCCGTGCTGTCGTTCTGTCGTAATGGACCGTCGAATCTTGTTTACTTTGCTGGTATCCACCTCACCTGTTGTGTACTGAGCTATTACGTGGTCAGTGAGGGCTGCTGTGAGCTTAACTGAGTTTTAATGTTAGGGTGGCAGCAATCTCCTCTGGGATTGGTCAATCCCATATCTTCCAGTCTCGGTGGTAGTGCAATGAGTGATCTTTCTGCTGGGGTTAAGTGAAGGTGTTTCACTAATTTGGGAATGAAATTGACGCTGATAGCTTCTTCCAGAGAGTGGAGGAGGGGTCCGATATCAGGGATAGTGCACATCAGGTAGTTCCAGCGATGCTTGACTCCGTGGGTGAATGCCGCAAAAGCCGGATGTGGCTCTGTGTTAGCAATATCAGACAGAGCTTGGATTCCCCTATCCCACTCATTCACCTTTCCCATTACGTACTACTACCTGTACTATTTTTACTTATAATAATAATAACAATAATAATAATAATAGTGATAATATTAATAATAATAATAATAATAATAATAATAATAATAATAATAATAATAATAATAATAATAATAATACGAACAGTGCTACATCTGATTTAGAATACTATTTAAATAACTATAACTATCTTTCTACTACACTACTACTACTACTACTACTACTCTACAATACTTTTGTACTAATTCTTAGGAGTAATATTTATCTCATTACTATTTCTGACATACAACAAAACAACCACAACAATAACTACTACCACTACTGTTACTACTACTACTACTTGTTTATTTTTATGGCCATCAACTTCCCCTACTATTTCTTCTACTACTGTTACTCTCGACTATTATTGCTTCTACTCAAACAGGTTGCTACTTTTTACTGTTAGTAAGGTACTAAAAGACAACCACTGTTGCTATTGTAGATTACTAAACCTACTACTGGACTAGTACACCTTTTCACATATCCGTTGAGACATTGTTACATAACTATTTGACAAATTTCATAACCGAATGACAGACAGAACACATATCGAATGACAATCTAAAATAACTGTTCGTTCATGCTAACGGAAATGATTGACATAAGTTATGAAGTTGACAGACGTGAACAATAAACCGACAGTCTACATATAGTTTGAGAATGTAACAATTGGAGAATGACATACCACCAACAGTTATTTTAGATTGTCATTCGATATGTGTTCTGTCATTCGGTTATGAAATTTGTCAAATAGTTATGTAACAATGTCTCAACGGATATGTGAAAAGGTGTACTCCTGACATACTGCAAAAACTAATACACCTTTTCACATATGATATCACTTTTAGTGTTAGAGCTCGTGACATGTAACTAATTGTAAGACTACTGCTAAAACTACTACTACTACTACTGTACTAATACTACTATATTAAAATATTACTTATATGTAAAAGCTCTTGACTAGTACTAGTACTAAGACTACATGTGGTAGTGCCACCCTGGAGCCACTGACAATGGAAACTCTAAGTTGATCCAGTCATTTTGGTGGAAGTCGTCACTTTTCACACTGGAGCAAAACGAAGAAGTGGTAGTGGTGTGAGGTGGTCGTGAAGTTCCCGGGGAAATGGGGGTTTTCTTTGCTGCCCATGGAAGTAATTTTTCAGCTGATAACCTTGCAAAAGAGAGTGGAAAAAAAAACTTTTTATTGTGAATGTGAGGTTCTTGTCCTGTTAAGAACGTCCTACGGCACCACTTGACCAAATCAAAGTCAAATTTGTTTATCTAAAGCCGAGTTGAAGCTTACTGTTAATTACCACAGTGTGATGTAATGATTAAATTACTAATTAATATTTGCTGCATTCAGATGTCGTATTTCTAGTTACTAGTTTTACATGAAATAGAAAACTGATCTTAAGTTGTGTTACATAATACACCTGTATGCATCACATAGTCCAAGAGCCAGGGTATTTTGATTTGTGTTTTTTCCTTCAAAGGGTTTGAAGGTTATTTGTAGGGGAAAAAATATCACAAGAATCTGAAAATCCCATTCTTATAAAAATCCGCTGGGGGATTTCTTGCAAAATTACCGCTTCTCGGCCGAAGTGCTGTTTGTTACATTCGTGTGTTTGGGTCACTAAAATGCCACTAATCTTCATCTATGTAAACAATACTGTAATTATATCGAAGGATTCAGTGCTCTCTCATGGTTGACTATCAGAGATGCTGCTGTAGTGTTAGAGGGTCGGTTTTAGAAACAGTAAAAAAATATATACATTTTTTAAAAGTTATGTATCCATGCTGACGTATATTGGGTAAGAGTTGACTTTACACCTTCGCTAACCACCAATTATTTACCTGGTAGGTGGGGGAGGGATGGACCCAGCGAGGTTGTCGGTTAGATATTTCAAGGCCACCAGTCTGTGTGCCTTATAAATGGCGTGGACTGTACATCGCATGACATACTACACAACAGCATCTCTGATAGTGGTTTCGGCTGCATCAGTTTCACAGCTATCAAGATGCACTCACTTGCACTTTACCACTGATTTTGAAACATTCCCGGAGAATATGCAGATAGCTGGGAATAGTCCAGATGTGCTAGTGCTCGGCCTTCTGATATTGGATTTCAGTATACTGTATGTTATAGCTGCTCACTTAGATGCCCCTCGGCTTCCCTAAGGCCCATAGCAGACATAGCTGTGAAGGTGTTATAGCAGTTTGTGTAGTATCCCATTAATTCATCGTAGAGATAAGGAAGTTTTAGATTATTCCATTAAGATGTTCCTGATATATCTCTTATACTCATCAGAAGGCTTAAATTTGTTCCGTGTCGTCTCATCTAATGGTTTTGGCATGTACCTTACAGCATGTTTCTGGCTGATGTAAATAATACGTGAGAGACGATACTTGTAGTATTTTGTGATATCAATGACGATTGATTTGGTCGTAGATAATCTGTTTGAAAGGATTGTAAAATAAAATTAGTTAAGCAATAAACCGCCGGCAAAGCTATTCGACACAAATCAGAAAAGTAATTGAAATTTGCAGCTGAAACCAGGAAACTGCAAATAGAGATGGAAACTTAATGAGTAGTGTAGGTTTTAGCATATTTTAATGCATCCAGTAAACTATGATAGAACACTGAATCCTTTGATACCATTATTGTTTGCATAAATGATGATAGCGGCATTTAGTGGCCCAAACACACAAATGTAACATACAGCATTTCGGCCGAGAAACGAAATTCAGATCATGTTGTTGACTTAGGGTAATTTTGAGAAAAATCCCCCGAGCGGATTTTTATTTTATTTTTTTATAAATTATGAATTTTCAGACTCCTGAGGTGTTTTACCCTACAAACAACCTTCAAACCTTTTGCTCTGGACTGATATGTTAATGTCTTTTAGTATAACTCTTTAATTGTCTGTTTAGTATGGCGGCTATTGTGAATCACCATTGAATCATTATATTATACACAATTGCGGGACACAAAATAACTAAACAAAACAGTCCACCCCAATAATGTTACCAGCTTTAGTAAGACCCGTATTTGCAATAACTACACCACCACCCGACCGATCAGGAGCACCGTCGTGTGTCGTTATTCAGAAACCTCAACAGACCCCGAAGACAGTCCCGGTGGATCCGGTTTCCTATCGAGATAAGAAAAAGACAGCCAGCAATATTTTACTCCTGCAAGAGCATACATACAACTAGCAGTGTTTTTCCTGAGAGGACCTAAATATATAGCCAGTAGTATTTTAGCAAAGGTATCATGCTGCTCATTTTAACACCTAAAACAAGTTTACAAGATATTTTTTTAGACATATGTAATCCAAGTGATGAAAGTTGTTAGATCAGTTATATCCCTGATGATGTGCTCAGGGAAGTGAACACAGAGGTAATTCGACACTCTACTTTATACCGACCTGATGAAAGTTTTGTTTAAAAGTTATCTTTAAATGTCTTATTTTTCGATGATTCAGAGGTAAAGTTAATAACTAATATTAGATATTTTAGTTTAATACTGTAAAAGTGTTATAACAACGGACATTGGAGATTTGCTGAAAGGGATTCGTAATAATTATATATCATTAAAGGTTCTTAATCTTTATTGATCTGTATAATTTGTTTTAAAAGTTACTACAGTAATTTTGTACTTGGAAAGATATTGATGAACAGGAAAAACCACTTGAAATTTTTTCTTACTTATGTATTACTTAAGAAACCAAGCAACAAGGTTAGTGAGAGATGGAGTCCACGGAGGCTATAATTGTTCTTGATAATTTTGACAAGAGCCAATTTGAAGCCCAGTAATGCTCGTGATTCCACAGCTTGGGTTGGTAGATAACTTAATCCCACACCGTAACTATCTTAACTCCCATTCACCACCAACTAACTTAGCCCCATGCAGCCCAACTAACTTAGCCCCACTCACCCAAAATAACCTAAGTCACCTACTCACTACAACTAACTTAACCCCACTCACCCCAACTAAATCAGCCCCTTCCTCTGCCACAGCTGTCTGTAACCCTCCGTGCCAGAACATGGGAATCTGTTTGGCACCGAACAAGTGTAACTGTCCACCCAACTGGCAAGGCAGGTCGTGTGAGGTGCCCAAGGGCCTACCCTCGAAATCGTGTGCAAATAAGAATCCGACACCCAAAAATTCGAGGATACAATGCAGCAGAAGGTAAGAACTCCTACTTTACACAATTCAACACCTAAACATGAAGATTGTTTTATCTTAAAATAGTCTTTCGCTATATAAATATATATATATATATATATATATATATATATATATATATATATATATATATATATATATATATATATATATATATATATATATATATATATATATATATAAAGAAGAGAACCAGGGAAAACAAACATCTTTACTAAGTTGGGTTTCTTTAATCACTAACGTTTCGGAAAAATCATTTTCCTTCATCAGAGGAAAAGGACAATATTCTTCCATTCATTGATGTTAATATCCACCGTCTTCATAATAGTTTCGAGACAGCTTTATACAGAAAACCATCTTTCACTGGTTTGAGTTCAAAATTGTCATCTTTTATTCCTTTTAATTACAAACGTAATCTAGTACGTACTCTTACCAACAGAGCCTTTATTACATAAAGGAACTACTCTTTAACAATGGTTTCCCTAAGAGATTTACAGACACTTATATTGGCAAAACCCTTAATAGATTTTTAGTCCCACACAGCCTCAAATGAACACCGTTCCTAAATATTCTATCTATTTCACCATCCCGTACACAGGCCCACTCAGTTTCACCCTTAGAAACAGACTTAAGAAGCTTTGCAATGAATTCTATCCACAAATTTCTTTTAGACAAGTCTTCAAAACCCAGAGTTCAATTAAAAATTTTTAAAATTAAAGACACCATACCCACACACCTGCAATCCTCAGTTGTTTATCAATTTACGTGCTAGCTAGGCAGCATATGTAGGCAAAAAAAAAAATGATAACTCGCTTCCATGAACACTTGAGCCGTTCCGTCCGAACAGGCCAGTTAATCACACAACCACCACATTCAGCTATTCGTAACCACGCCCACCAACAAGACCGCCCGTTTTCGCCGCCTGATTTCTCAGTTCTTGACAGGAGCAACTGTGAGACGGCCGTCCTCATTATGGAAGCCTGGTATCAGTATAAAGTAAAGCCATCCGTTTGTGATATGGCTTCCTGTGTTTTTTTTTTCGGACTAAGGCTCGTCTAAATTAAGATAATACCCCCTGTATAGTTTTTATTTCACATTTTTATTCCTGATTTTAGCTTTGTACGTAGGTCTCTCGTCATTTTTGGTTTTTAAATTGATTGCTTTTTTTCAAATTTATGGAAGGTAAATTTTCGTATAATGTTATGTTTTTATTGTATATCACCTGTAGTTTTAGAACTTTTTCAAAACTTTTTTCGAACGTTAGTGATTGAAGAAACCCAACTTGTCAAGTTGTTTGTGCTTTCCCTGGTTCTCCCTCGTTATGAAACTACGCTTTCCACGCAACAAGTCCATTGCTGAAGTTATATATATATATACACCTTATACACTATGTCTATTTCTTTTATATTTTATTTTTTATAAAGAAAATAACGCAACACTTGGTTCCTCTTACAGCGAGTGCAGAGCGGAGTGTTTCGATGGCTACCACTTCGCTGAAGGCACGACCACCCTCACCTACAAGTGTCAGGATGGCAACTGGGTCATCCCTGATCCCGCCTGGACCGACTCCATGCCTAACTGTTTACGTGAGTACAGCTTTGGTGGTGGCCTTGGTGGTGGAGGGGATCTTGGTGGTGGTAGAGGGGTCTTGGTGGTGGTACTGGTGATAAAGGGGGGTCTTGGTGGTGGTACTGGTGGTAGAAGGGTCTTGGTGGTGGAACTGGTGGTAGAGGGGTCTTGGTGGTGGTACTGGTAGAGGGGCTTTGGTGGTACTGGTAGAGGGGTCTTGGTGGTGGTACTGGTGGTAGAGGGGTCTTGGTGGTGGTACTGGTGGTGGAGGGGTTTTGTTTGTGGTACTGATGGAGGGGGTCTTGTTTGTGGTACTGGTGGTGGAGGGGTCTGTTTGTGGTACATGGTGGGAGGGGTCTTGTTTGTAGTACTGGTGGTGTGGAGGGGGTCTTGTTTGTGGTACTGGTGGAGGGGGTTCTGTTTGTGGTACTGGTGGGGGGGGGTCTGTTGTGGTACTGGTGGTGGTGGAGGGGGTCTTGTTTGTGGTACTGGTGGTGGAGGGGGTCTTGTTTGTGGTACTGGAGGGTTTTGTTTGTGGTACTGGTGGTCGAGGGCTTTTTTGTGGTACTGGTGGTGGATGCGGTATTGTTTGTGGTACTGGTGGTGGAGGAGCTCTTTTGTGGTATTGGTGGTGGAGGGGTCTTGGTGGTGGTACCGGTTGGAGAGGATCTTCGTGGTGGTACTGGTGGTGGAGGGGTGTTGTTTGTGGTACTGGTGGTGGAGGGGGCTTTGTTGTGTTACTGGTGGAGGAGGGTCTTGGTTGTGTTACTGGTGATGGAGGGGTCTTGGTTGTGTTACTGGTGGTGGAGGGGTCTGGTTGTGTTACTCGTGGTCGAGGAGTCTTGGTGGTCGCACGTGGTGGGGGGGTCTTGGTTGTGGTACTGGTGGTGAGGGGGGTCTTGTTGTGTTACTGGTGGAGGGGGTCTTTGTTGTGTTACTGGTGGTGGAGGGTCTTGTTTGTGGTACTGGTTGGAGGGGGTCTTTTGGTTACTGTGTGGAGGAGGGGGTCTTGATGGCACTGGTGGTGGAGGGGTCTGGTGGTGGTACTGGAGGTGGAGGGGTGTTTCGGTGGTGGTACTGGTGGTGGAGGGGAGTCTTGGTTGTGGTACTGGTGGTAGAGAGGGTCTTGGTGGTGGTACTGGTGGCGGAGGGGTCTTTGGTTACTGTACTGGTGGAGGGGGGTCTTGGTGTGGTACTGTTGGTAGAGGGAGTCTTGATGGCCTGGTGGTGGAGGGGGCCTGGTGGTACTGTGGTGGGGGGTCTTTGTTGTGTTACTTGGTGGTGGTACTGGTGGAGGAGGGTCTTGGTGGTGGTACTGGTGGTGAGGGGTGTTTTGGTGGTACTGGTGGTGGAGGAGGTCTTTTTGTTATTGGTGGTGGAGGGGTGTTTCGGTGGTGGTACTGGTGGTGGAAGGGAGTCTTGGTTGTGGTACTGGTGGTAGAGGGTCTTTGTGGTACTGGTGGTAGAGGGGTCTTTGGTGGTACTGGTGGTGGAAGGGAGTCTGTGTGGTACTGTGGTAGAGGGGTCTTGGTGGTGGTACTAAGTGGTGAAGGGGTCTGTGGTGGTACTGGTGGTGAGGCAGTTTGGTGGTACTGGTGGTGGAGGAGGCTTTTTGTTATTGGTGGTGGAGGGTGTTTGGTGGTACTGGTGGTGAAGGAGTCTTGTTGTGGTACTGGTGGTAGAGGGTCTTGGTTGTGGTACTGGTGGTAGAGGGTCTTGGTGGTATACTGGTGGTGAAGGAGTCTTGGTTGTGGGTACTGGTGGTAGAGGGGTCTTGTGGTGGTACTGGTTGAGGAGGGGTCTGGTGGTGGTACTGGTGGTGGAGGGGTGTTTCGGTGGTGGTACTGGTGGTGGAGGAGGTCTTTTTGTTATTGGTGGTGGAGGTGTTTCGGTGGTGGTACTGTGGTGGGGGGTCTTGGTGGTACTGGTGGTAGAGGGGTCTTGGTTTGTGGTACTGGTGGTAGAGGGGTCCCTGGTGGTACTGGTGGTGGAAGGAGTCTTGGTTGTGGTACTGGTGGTAGAGGGGGTCTTGGTGGTGGTACTGGTGAAGGGTCTTGGTGGTGGTACTCGTCACCATCACCGCCCCTTCTCAACAAGGTGGCGTCGCCAAGCGGCCAGAAAGTAAACAAAATACAGTAATTTCCAGTCGAGCAATAGAGTTAAGGGAGGAAGACGAGATCCCGTTTTTCTTTTTTTGTTTATTTTAGCAGCTGAAATGGGACCCGATACAGTGAATCCCGGTACAGTGCAGCTATTACGTATTCTACCACCAATTTTGTAAATGCTGACTGTTTACTGTGTATTAGTTTTGAGCTCTTTCTTTATTTAAATTAGTACTGATAATGTTCCACTCTTCATAATTGGTAGTTATCATCAGAGTATTATCGGGATATATAAAAGGAGCAGAACTCTATTGTATTATCGAAAATATAAGGCTGGTTGTACAGCCATTGAAAATTTTGTAACCCTACCAAGGACCCTATATTCATGTTGAACTGTATGCCTACATACCTGGATACAGTACCTGCATAGTATATAATTATACGTAACAGCTTTACCGATTAAATGTCATTATCATTAATATTATTCAAACTTGGAATAATGTAGCCTGATCTTAGAAATTTTTACACCGTAGAAGCATAATATTAAAACCTACAGGAAATATCGATAATATGTATGTGGATTTTGCCAAGGCTTTGAGCACCATGAAAAGTTGGGAACTAAACTGAAAGGCAGGGATCGGGTAAGTGTCCTAGCGTGGATCGGAGATTTTCATGACCGCAAGCAGTGTGTGGTGACTATTGACACGAAATCTTCAAGTGTACCCATGACAAGCGGGGTACCACAGGGAAGTGTAATGAGCACGTTATTGTTTGTTTGTTTCACAAATGACATTTCAGAAGTCGTGAGAGAAGGTGGTGGGGGGGAGGGGGTGAGAGCCAGGTAGGGGAGGCTGAAAGAAGGTGGTGTAGGTGAGGGGTCGTGAAAGAAGGTGTAGGGAGGGAGGCGGAGAGACGGGTGGGTGTAGGGGAGGGGCCGAGAGAAGGTGTGTAGGGGAGGGGGGAGAAGGTGGTGTAGGGGAGGGGCCGTGAGAGACGGTGGTGTGGGGGGAGGGGGTCGTGAAAGAAAGTGGGGTGTAGGGGGAGGGGGGTGAGAGACAAGGTGGTGTAGGGGGAGGGGGGGGCGGAGAGACGGTGGGTGTAGGGGGAGGGGCGTGAAAGGTGGTGGTGTAGGGGAGGGGGCGTGGGAGAGAAGGTGGTGTAGGGGGGAGGGGATCAGAGAGGGTGGGGTGGGGGGAGGGGGTCTGAGAGAAGGTGGTGGGGGGAGGGGGTGAGAGAAGGTGGTGAAGGGGAGGGGCCGGAGAGAAGGTAGGGGGAGGGGGCCGAGAGAAGGTGGTGTAGGGGAGGGGGTCGTGGGAGAGAAGGTGGTGTAGGGGAGGGGCCGGGAAAAGAAGGGTAGGGGGAGGGGGCTGAGAGAAGGTGTAGGGGAGGGGGCGGGAAAGAAGGTGGTGTAGGGGAGGGGGCGTGAGAGAAGGTGGTGTAGGGGAGGGGGTGAGAGAAGGTGAGGGGGAGGGGAGCGTGAGAGAAGGTGGTAGGGGAGGGGCCGGAGAGAAGGTGGTAGGGAGGGGGTGGAGAGAAGGTGGTAGGGGGAGGGGGTCGTGAAAGAAGGTGGTGTAGGGGAGAGGGGGCGTGAGAGGGTGGAGGAGGGAGCTGAGAGGGGAGGGGCGGGAAGAAGGTGTAGGGGAGGGGGCGGAGAGAAGGTGGTGGGGGAGGGGGGGTGAGAGACGGTGGTGTAGGGGAGGGGGGTGAGAGGGGAGGGGGGAGGGGTGTGAGAAGGGGTGGGTGGGGGAGGGGGCCGAGAGACGGTGGTGTTGAGGGAGGGGGGCGGAGAGACGGTGTAGGGGAGGGGGCCGTGGAGAGGTGGTGTAGGGGAGGCGAAAGGTGGTGTAGGGGAGGGGATGAGACGGTGTAGGGGAGGGGGTCGAGAGGTGGGGAGGGGGAGGGGGGCGGAGAGAAGGGGTGGGGGAGGGGGGCGTGAGAAACGGTGGTGTAGGGGAGGGTCGGGAGAGAAGGTGGTGTAGGGGAGGGGGCGTGGAGAGAAGGGGTGGGGAGGCTGTGAGAGACGGTGGTGGGGGGGAGGGGCGTGAGAGAAGGTGGTGGGGGAGGGGCGGGAGAGACGGTGTAGGGAGGGGGTGAGAAGGTGTAGGGGGAGGGGCCGGAGAGAAGGTGGTGTAGGGGGAGGGGTCGTGAGAGATGGTGGTGTAAGGGAGGGGCGTGAGAGACGGTGGTGTAGGGGAGGGGCTGAGAGAAGGTGGTGAGGGGAGAGAAGGTGTGTAGGGGAGGGGGCCGAGAGACGGTGTAGGGGGAGGGGGTGGGAGAGAAGGTGGTGTAGGGGGAGGGGCCGGAGAAGGTGGTGTGGAGGGAGGGGGAGGAGAGAAGGTGGTGAGGGGGAGGGGGAGGAGAGAAGGTGGGGGAGGGGCGGAGAGACAGGTAGGGGGAGGGGACGGAGAGACAGGTGTAGGGAGGGGCCGGGAGAGACGGTGGTGGGGAGGGGGGTGGAGAAGGTGTAGGGGAAGGGGTGATAGAAGGTGGGGAGGGGGGCAAGAGAGAAGGTGGTGTAGGGGAGGGGAGTGAGAGAAGGTGTGTAGGGGAGGGGTCGAGAGAAGGTGGAGGGGGAGGGGGTGGAGAGACGGTGGTAGGGGAGGGGGCGTGAGAGAAGGTGGTGTGGGGAGTAATGTGAAAGAAGGTGTGTAGGAGGGCCATGTAACTGAACGAAGCATACTGAG